TGGAACACACAGGGGTTTCCCTTGCTCTCTACTCTCCTATTTGATCCTGTTGGGGCAAATGCGGGTGGAGGCTAATAGTCTGCTCAGTGGTGCTGTAGCAGCAGATCTTGGTGACCACTTGCACAGTGTGCTGTGCTGGGTGCAGTCTGTGCTGGGGCCCAGGAAGTGTGATCTGTGGTGGACTCTGCAGGCCCCTTCTCTACCCTACACTTCCACCAGAGAATGATTTTGGTAGCTAGACCCAGGGAAGTGCTGAGGTGTGGGTTGGTTGGGGGATTGGGAATTGAATCTCCTCTGTCCCATATCCCGAGTTCGGGACCCAGGCTCTGTGGACTGTGGTGGAGTCCACAGGCCACCTCTCTGCCCTTCCTCTCTGCCAGGGAAGGCTGCTGTGGTGACTGATCCGGGGGAGTACCGGAAAGGTTTAAGTAGAGTGTTCTCAGTCCCAGATCCCGGGCCAGTTATCTTTGCCAGAAGCTGCCTGGCAGTAGCGCATATGTAGGCCGGGTCTGGGGGAGTACAAGTTAGGGTTGAGTGTCCTCAGTCTCAGATCCAGAACCGGGGTTTCTCTGCCAAGGACCACTGGGTGCAGGAAGGGTTGAGTGACCTCAGTCCCAGATCCTGAGCTAGGGCTTGTTTGCTAGAAGCAGCAGGTGGCGCTGGAGCTTGGGCGCTGTGGGCTGTGTCAGAACTCACAATGTGCTTCTCTGTCCTTCTGCTCCACCAGGGCAGGCTTACTTTGGCGGTCTCAGGGGAGTGCCCAGGAGGGTTAGGTATTCTCAAGCCCAGATCCCAAGCCTGGTTTTCTTTGGTAGAAGCCGCTGTTGTCGCTGGGGCTGGGGCACAGGCAGTGTGGACTGTAGCAGATTCTGCTGGCTGCCTCCTCCAAAGATGGAATAAGGAGTTGGGTACCTGGAATTTGCCTAGGGATCACCTCCCGGAGTGTCTCCTCCCAGAGGTGTCTGCAGGTGACCTGATTCTTGGTGTACTCAGTTCACGATTAGTCCCTTTCTTCCTGGAAGTCTAGATAACCCTGTTTTGGGTTTGGTAGCCCCTTCACTCACCAATTTCGGCATTTTAGGTGCTTTGCCCCTCAGCTAAGGTAGACACTAGCTGCCACCATCTTGGATCCCATCGCAGAGGTTTTTATTAAGTATTCAATTTTTAGATTGCTATGGTAACAAAAACTCCTTTTTCATTGTGTTGCTTTAGAAATTTATAAATATATCTTAATTTACAACAGAGCAAGCAAGTAATTAACCTTAACAATTTGGGTGATTTGTAATAGCAAAGAGAAATGACTACCTCATAAAGATTTTATAATTAAAACAAACAACAACAACAACAACACTAAAAGAATATTTTGTATGTTTGGTTGCATAGTTAAATAAAGATCTTGGAAGATTTGTCATGATCTATAGCATTTTCAGGTTTGATATGATTAGAAATATAATAATATGGTATTCTGAAATATGCCTGTAAAATACAGTCACAAAGATAAAGAATAATTTTAGTTTGTTATAAATAAAACAAATCAGATAAATCTTTCATCTTAGACATTTATTCTGATATCATCACACACAGGATACATTGACAAGATTACCTCAGTATTCCTGCAGGTGATAAACATGTTCTGGATCATAGGTGTCCAGGCATTACATCAATATACTAATTAAAATTCATGGAACTGATCTCTTAGAACGCAGAACACTGAGTTGTTTATTGATATGTGCCTCAATAGCGAGGATCCATGAATGACCATAGATTTGATTTTTTGTTTCTACCTTCTAAGTGCTGGGCTAGTGGAGGACTCTAGTGATACCGCAGCCAAAGGAGTGTTGGTGCATAAGAGCAAGAAGGAAGTCCCATTCAATATGATTCAGTAGCTGCTGTTAGTTCCAACTTCACGATTCCGACACTGAGCAGTTTATTTCAGGAATGCTTAAGTACAGCACACATTGGAAAAACAGTTTTGGTAGATTCTATATGTTCTATAGGTTTACTGGAAAAGCAGTTAAGATAAACAAAGTACATGCTAAGGGTTGTGGAGTACAGAAGTAGAGATTGACTAAAAGAAACATAAGATGGGGGAAATCTGGTGTGCCCTGGCTTTACAGAGACCACAGAAATCACCTGGCTATTAGGACCATCCATCCCTAGCTTTCCTAGTGGAAAACAACTATACATCTCCTTCTTAGAAAAACAAGCCTTTTGGAGCTCCTGTCCTCTCCCATTCATACTAACTCCCCCTTTTATCAAATGATTGCCTGCACTCTACTGAAGATTTGGTTATGAGTCTCAGCATCTGCTTTGATATGCTGTTAGGTAAAATCTTTCAGAGGCCCTCTGCAATAGGCTCCTGTCCTGTTTTTTGTCTTCTCCTAATTCCCATGTCCATCCCATTTTTCAACAGCCTTGCTAGGCCACAGAGGAGGACATTGCAGCTAGTCCTGAAGATACATGATAAGCTAGGGTCAGAAGGGGAGGAGGACCTCCTCTAACAGTGGACTTGGAAAGGGACAGGGAAGAGAAGAAGGAGGGAAGGTGGGAATGGCAGGGAATGAGGAAGGGGGTTATGGCTGGGATACGAAGTAAATAACCTGTGATTAATATTAAAAAAATAAAAATTAATAAAAGTACTATTGAAGATAAAACAAAGAAAAATAACCCTCTGTGTTTAACATTCCTGCTTTTCCTACTGCTTATCCAGGAACACAAATACCTACATGCTTCCAACATAGAATAATGTGTGTGAAACACTGTGTCATGCTAAACACTTATTTTTTGGGGGGTGTTGTTGTACTGTTTTTTATGTTGCTAACATCATTCTACAGAACTGGACAATGTGCGTATGTTCTTTGCCTTCAGTATCATCTCCAAGTGTTTACAAAAGAAAGAAAAACTCCATTAAAACAAATACAGTGTGTTTTTTGTGTGTGTGGTGTGTGTGTGCGCGTGCGCATGTGCATGTGTTACAACATATGGATGTCAGAAGACAATTTTGTGGAGTCAATACTTTTTTTCCACAATGATATGGTTTCTACTGATCAAATTCAGATAGTCAGGCTTGTGTGGCAAGCAGCTTTGTTAATGGAGCCATTTCACTGGCCCATCTTAAAAAATAATCAAGAAAATATTTCCTAATGATATTCTTCAATACCCACAGTTCAGTGCCTTATCCAGTCATCATCAGAGATGGTTCCTCCTGCAGCTGTTCAGAATAGATACCGAGAACCCTAGCCAAACCTTACGCTGGGAGTCTAAGTTAGAGGTCTCTATCAAATCATTCTTCTCAGAGATCAGGAAATCTTGAGGAATACAATGCAGAATCTATAGTCCTAAAGAAGCTAAACAACAAGGAAGACCCTAAGGAAGAGGCTGAAACCTCATTCAGAAGGGCAAACAGGATAGATATTAGAAGTAGGAGAAGACAGGGAACAGGTCAGGAGCCTTCTACAGAGGACCTCTGAAAGACTCTACACAGCAGGGTATCGAAGGAGATATTTAGGCTCATAGTCAAACTTTGGACAGAGTGCAAGGAACCTTATGGAAGAAGGGGTACATAGAAAGACCAACTCAGAGAAGACCAACAGAGCCAAAAATCTCTGCAGGGGGTCCTGCAGAGATTGATACTCCAACCAATGACCATGCACGGAGAGGAACTAGACCCTGTTTCAAAGGAAGCCCATAGGCTGCACAGTCTCCAAGTGGGTTCCCTAGTAAGGGAAGCAGAGGCTGTCTCTGGCATGAACTCAGTGGCTGAATCTTTGATCTCCTCAGCCTGTAGGGTGGAGTGTTGCCAGACCACAGAAGAAGATTAGGCAGCCAACCTGGATGAGACCTGATAAGCTAGGGTCAGGTAGAAAGGAAGAAAGACCTCACCTATCAGTGGACTAGGGGAAAGGCATAGAGGGAGAAGAGGGAGGGAGGGTGGGATTGGGAGGATATGAGGGGGTACATCCAGGATACAAAGTGAATTAGTTGTGATAAATAAATAGATAAATAAAATCATACAAAAAAAAAGATTGTAAGAGTCAGAAGGGATGGAGAACAAGAGGAGAACAAGGTTCCCCAACTCAACAAAGCAAGGCACATATGAACCCACAGATATAGAAACAGTGAGCACAGAGCATACACAAGTGTACATATATATTTTAACTATGAGCTTTAGAATTTTTATGGGAGCCTTACTTGTAAGAATGAGTGGGTCTCTGACTCTTGAGTCTGTTCTTGGGATTCTTTCCTTCCTGTTGGGTTGCCATAACTTTAATATACTAGTTTTGCTTCATTTTATATATTTATTTATATATATATTTATATAATATACAAATATATTTTTATATATTTATAAATATTTATTTATATATATTTTTTATTTTGTCATGTTTGTTGTTATTTTGTAAAAGTCTGTTTTTTGCTATTGAAGGACAGAAAGGGAGTGAATCCAGAGGTAAGAAAAGGCTGTGGGTGTGGGGGGAGGGACTTGGAGTAGAGAGAAAAATATTCTGGATATGAGGAAAGAATGTCTGTTTCTTCTCATCCCTACCCTTACTCCACCCAGATCACAAATGTATCACAAATTCTAACCTACCTGCTTCACTCACAGCACTGGCATGTAGTTCCATTTGTCAAGTAACAATGTTCAAAGAACATCTGCTAAACTTCTCTTCTGCTTTAGCTATGGAGAAATTGCCAACTACTACACCTAATGTCAGGCTTGCTAATTTTCCTGGTCTGATGAACCCTCCCTTTTTCATTTGTGCAATGTGGTGGCTCAAGTTCTTCTAATGCAGAAAACCATGAAATTGCATAAGATTATGTATTCTAAGTCTCAGAGCTCCATACTTCGTTTCTGAAATGTACAGATGTTCTTAGAAAGTAGTGCTGCCAGGTCAACAAAACAAAATTCACCACACTCAGAATGTATTTAACTGTTCCACATATCCTTTTTAGAGTCTCACTTTGGTATACCATGTTTATTCGCTCAAAAATAGCGTATACACCCTCGCAATGGACAAAGAGACACCTTGGTGGTGGTGGTGTCCTTATATCAGTCTGGGACAAAGCAGATAGTAGTATTTTATTCATCCTAGCTTGATGCCTAGCTTGGTGTACAAAATGACTTTATTCCTATGACTCATAAAAATCACACCAAATCAAATCAAATCCAGAGGTGCAGCATGGGAGGGGGAAGACAGACAGAGACTGGAGGACTGCTATAAAACTCACAGACAGGCCCTCCAGTGCATGGCACATGCAGGCCATAGGCACCTGGCTGCAGACATGCCATGGAGGGCAGATGGAGGATGTTACCCAGAGACCTGCTAGCTGCAGCCACCACAATGTGCAAGTATGTGGTGGTAAGATGGGAGGGAAAAAGAAGTGCAGCAGCTTGAGCATTAAAAAGAGAGATGCAACTAGAGACTCAAGGGTGGAGAGGAGTAGCCTGTTGTGAGTGGTCAGCCCTGCCATCTAGGACCATGACGAGGTCCCAGCCCCAGCTGTCATTGAGGGCCATATCTGAGTTCATGGCTACACAGTGGTAAGGTTCAGGTTTTATGTCCATGACTCATTACCACCAGAGAATGTTGGGATGCCCCTGGTTGGGCCACGCACCCAGGACCACCTGGATGTCCAGGAGGTGTGCATAACTGGCCACACCTCACTGGATGTGGTGCTTTGGAGACATGGCTCCATCACTCACCTCTGGCAGGACTCAGGAGAGCTGGCGCTGTGCTTTGTCTAGGCAACACACTGGAGCTGGCCCTGGTGGCAGGGGTGTGTGTGAGCTGTACCTTAGATGTAAGCATGGACGAGCTGATCTAGCCACTCTTCTGCTGAGGTGTGATATGGGCACAGATGTGATGCTCCCTCCAGCATTCAGAAAAGCTTCCCACGGGGTCGTTTGTGATAGCTATCCTAGCCCCTCACCAGCTGTAGCATCTAACAGTGCAAGCTCTGCACTACACCTAAAGAGCACAAAAGAGCTGACCTTCGTGATATAAGCACAGGTGAGCCAGCCCCAAGGATGAGAGAATGAGAGAGCTGGCCTCACCACTCATCTGCCTGAGGTGGTATGGGTAGTGTGGGATGATGCCCTCTCTGACTCCTTCCTTGTTATGTTTGGTAGACAAGAGAGCTGGACTCAAGGGCATGAGAGTGGAAGAGCAAGACCTGCCACCTCACTGGCTATAGCACTTCAGCGAGCCTGCAGTGCACCTTGTGTGGGCAACACAAGGAGCTGGCCCTGTTGGCAAAAGTGAGTGAGCCAGCCCTGAGGGTATGCAGCAGAAGAGAGGTCCAAGCTCCTCATAGTCTTCAGCAATTTGGAGAGTGGGCCTGCAGCTTGATTGGGAGGCATGGCATAACTAACTGGCTCTGGAGGCATTTTGAGCTGCCCCCAGGGGCATTGAGCAGGAGAGCTGCCCTTGCCTGTTGATGGTGGCATTGGCTGGCCTAGCAGGAGCAGTGCTGCAGAGCTCCTCCTGGTGGTGCAAATAAGGAAGAACTGGTGGATTGACCAGCTCTGCTACTTCCCAGGCCCAGGGCTGTGAGTTGGCCCATGGCAAAATCTATATCTTAGATGAACTGTTGGGACATGTGCAAGAGCCGGTCATGCTGTTCCAAAGTTACAGGATCTCCATGAAAAAGATCAACAAGCTGAACACTATGATCATCTTTCAGGTTAGGCTGTCAAGCTGGTCTCACAAAGAGAAAAACTCAACTCTACCAAGTTGTATCTTAGTACTAAAATTCTTCTGATGAACATTTTCAGCCCTTAAAGTTATATCAGGGTACTCCAGTCTGAGAGTCTGAAAACAGATTGAAATTATATTCTTAAATATTCTTGAATGTTAAATTTTATATTCCCCTCTTTCTTATATAGATATGGTGTTAGATATGTACATGAGATAGTTATATACACACTTCTACAGGAGCAAGTCATTTTACTCCTTCCCTTACAGTGCTTTGGAGAAATTAAATATTTCAAGTATAATATATTGTTCTGCATTCTTAATTCATATTTGACACTCTTGGTTTATTAATTGAAAATATTAAAAATTAAATAAATTTTCCAGAGGGAAGATAACATAAAACACATGATTTTACTGCTAAATTAACACTGATTGGATAAAAAATTTAAAATTACTGTATTAAATACTGAAGTGAAAATTAAATAAAATAATCCATTATTCTTTTGGTACTGTGGTATATATTCAAAAATATCCTGGACAATGACAACAAATGGAATAAATTGTAACACAGTTGATATCTTTAGGATATATGTGTTTTATTTTTCCACAGTAATAATCAAGTATTTACTTGATATATGCTTCAAAACTACACGGAAAATTTTATGTTGATTCCTCTTCCTAGAAATGGCAATGGGTAAATCTGAACTCTGTGCTGTTGTTAATAACTAAGAAAAAAAGATTGATGTACAAAATTAAATTCATACAGAAACACCAACAAACAAATACAAACAAATGAACAATGAGACCTTTAAAATGAATGATCCAAAATGTGACAAGAGAACCTAGGAGTGAATCTGGCTTAGAAACTTCTTTTTATAAGTAATTACAGCATACTCTAAAAAGATTACCTGGAAGGCTAACTTCTGAAAAACAATAAAATCAAAGGTAAAGTGTAGAGTCTTTCCAGGAGGTGGAGATATACTTGTTTTTATCTTCAGGTTCCATAACTACATCTAGGTTGAAAATTTTCAGATATTCTTCTCATCACTATTCCTTGAACAATAGAGAAAGTAACAATTTAGACAGAAAATACATTGTGTTAGATATAAAAATAGGGAGATGTTAGTCTATGGCTTTTGAGAAGAAATTAAAAAAAAGATCAACAAGAAGATAACTGGGAAAAGTCAATAAAGATGCAATATTAATGGTGTCACAGAAACCAGAGATCTTGAGCCAGACCAATAACGCATTGCAATAAACATTTGCAATTGAAGATGTGTGGGCAGAGAGATATAATGAGGCAACACACTACAGCTTCCATGACAAGATGTTTTATATGCTTTTGATTTGTGTTGTTTCTTTTTCTTTTTTCTTTTCTTTTCTTTTTTATTTTATTTTATTTTGGGGGATGTTGAAAGCAAGACAAGCGGTAGATAAGGTAGCTAAGCGGTGAAAAGGAGATGAGCAGGACTAGGCACATGATGTGAAACTCACAAAGAATCAATAAAATGTTTAACAAAATAGGATATTGGAGGAATAGGCCAGTGAAGAAAGCACTGGATCCTCTTCTAGAGTATCTGATTTCAGTTTCCTGCATCCATGTATAGCTTACAACCTTCTGTATCTCCACTTCCAGAGTATCTTTGGGGCTTTCTGGACACAAGGTATGCTAGTGGTATAGATACATACATACATACATACATGTAGGTAAACAGTCATAAACATAAAATTCAATATTAAAAATAGGATACACACATATGTTTTTGTATTTGATGTCTTGCAAAGAAAAGGCTCCACCCAACATGGGATCTAAGCAAATGATGAAACTCACAGCGAAAATTTGGACAGAGAGCAAGGAATCTTATGGAAGAAGTAGGGGATGGGGATAAAAAGACACTGAAGGAACAAGGAGACCAACAAAACTAAAAATTCTGCAGAGGCTGATGCCCCAAACAAGGACCATATGTGGAAAGGAACTAACCCAAACCCCTGATCAGATGTAGCTGACAGGCAGCTCAGTCTCCAAGTGGGTCCCTGAGTGAGGGTGGTGGGGTCCGCCTCATGAGCTTATTTCCTGCTCTTTGATCACTTCCCCCTGGTGATGTGGCCTTTTGGGGCCACAGAGGAAAAGGATCCAGCCAGTCCTGATGAGACTTGTTGGGCTGGGGCAGATGGCAGAGGAGGAGAATTCCCCCTTTCAGTGAAATGGAAAGCGAGTTTGGGGGGATGACAGAGGGATGGTGGGACCTGGAGGAGTTGAGGAAAGGAGCTGCAGTCAGGGTGTGGAATGAATAAATTGTAAAAAGTAAAAAAAAAAAAAAAAGAATATGAATAAGAATTGAACCCAGGAATTCATACATGGAAGGCAAGTGTTTTCTCACTGAAATATGTACTCTGCATCATAACTTTCACTCTATATTCTTTGGTCTTTCTTGACTCAAAATTCTTGCATATGTATTAAAACACACATATTATCCTTCAGTAGTGATCACATATCTATAGAATCATGTGCGCTTTAAAACCATAATAAAAACCACAAGGGCATTGTGGTTGCAGACCTTCAATTTTAGCTGAGATTCAAGGATTTAAAATAAAAGTCTAAAAATAATTGCCTTTTCAGAAGTCTTATATTATAGACGACAAATAGAAACAGTAAACTTCCTTAAACATTGTCTGACCGAGTTTTTGAACCATTAATAGCCTACAAATCTTATCTGCCTCCCACCTTCGAGATTTAATGACAACTTGTCTGTTGAATTAGCTTGTGCTGTGAGCAAATTTGAAAGGTGACAATTATGCAAAGGGAATATAGAGCATACAGTGATATTTTTATAAACAAGCACCTATGGTGACCAAATTTGTCAATTTTTATTTTTCATGTTTCAGAATCAACCAACCTCACAGTCTTCTGAGGTTAAGATTTTGTGGCTCCCTTTCCCATAATTGTACCCACTTGCCTTTGTGTAATAAACCTTTGGGAACTGCTTATGCCCTGGAGCTTTTCTTAATTGTAACTAAAATCCTCAAACACTCAAGACGATGCTTTTTCTTACTTCAGTAAATTATCAGACATAGACTCCTCTAGACCCCACCAGCCAAAACAGTGTACTATCGAGAACTGTAAATGCACAGCCTGAGATGAGGTACAATTTGAGCTCCAATGTATCACAGTTCATATGATGTTTGAGTGAGATATCCTTGAGTTACATAAGGTTTTCTCTCCATACTACCATAATCTATCAGAGTGGATACTGTGTCAGTGAAAGGTGGACATTACACACAAGCTTCACATAGACTAAATGAGGGTGTCTTTTGTAAGGGTCCTCTGGTGACTCTGAGAGCTGTGCATTCATTGAGAGGATATTTTAATATCTTTATTTTACCTCATTTCTTAAATATTTTACCTAGTATTAATAAAATCCCAGTACACAAAATAAAAACTATGCTG